ATGTTGATATCTTATACCACATTTGACTTCATTCCTTCCTTATTTTCTTTTATTCTCCACTTATGCCTATGAAAGGAGTACAGCCTATTGGTCGCGGTAGTAGTGGCGCTCCTTCTGGCGGTAGTAGTGGTGGTAGTAGCGCTCCTTCTGGCGGTAGTAGTGGTTTCAGGAGCGCTGCTTCTAGCCGTAGGCGTAGTAGTGATTACAGTCGTCACAGGCGCCCTGCTTCTGGCCATAGTAGCGCTGTCGATGGTAATTGGGGACAATGGTCTCCATGGAGTCGATGCAGTGTGATATGTGGTTCAGGAATTCGTACAAGAACACGCAGGTGTGATAACCCTCCACGCAGAGGTAGAGGTAAACCATGTGCAGGAAACAGCCAAAGCACTGAAAACTGTAGAAGCTGTGGGTTAGGTACGTAATCAAACTGCGAAAATCCCTCAATCTTGTAGTATTCTTCTAACCCCCAGGCCATCGGTAGCCATTCTTTTATCGAAAAATGAATCAAGACAACGAACTCTATTTTTCTTCATCAGAAAAATGTAGAATATATTGCACCTAAATTATGCCTGCCTATATGATCCTTCCATCTCTCGATACTAAGTTGGCGTTATTGTATGCTTATTTCAGTTATTTGCATCAATAACAATGTGTCTTCGCTTATATGAATCCCGGGGGGGGGACTCCCTAATATCAAAGGGCGGGGGTCCTCGGCGGAAATTATGAAAATGACCCCTAAGAGGGACCTGTATTTGGAGATGATGGGCGTGGCAGTGCTGAAATTTCATCCCTAAAAGGGACCAATAATCTCGTCTATTAAGGAGTGTTAAGTGACAAGACGTGAAATTGATTAAAATAAAATCAATCATCTAATTAGCATCATAATGACGGCTTAGGGACGTCATATACCCTAAAAGGGACCACAAAACTCAGTTGGTGGGAATTCTCGTCATTATCACCCTTGAAGCGGGACCAAAATACCGATTTCAAACCCTAAAAGGGACGCCGAGGACCCCCGTCCTTTGATATTAGGGAGTCCCCCCCCGGGGGTATTAATACTCCTTTTTCGAATTCAAAGCGAATAATTGTCTAAGGTTCAAGCCTTTGCGGAAAGGATAAGCCTCCACTCGGGGAAAATGCATTTTTAGGGATATTGCAATTGTTTTGGTAAGGTCTTTGCGCAAGAGAATCTGTTATTATATAAAACAGTTGTTATTTGCTTTGAATGCGAAAACGGAATATTGAAAATCATTTAATTGTTATTCGACTCCCAACAAACCCCTAAATTCTTCGAATATAGATGCGACTTTAATTTTTGTTTGAGTTTTCTTTGTCGCAAGATTTAGCCATAGGCAACTTGCTCCCAGACTCCCAGCGTATTTGCCTACTGCCTTAGTTCACTTTAATCAATGTTGTCTTTAGGTTTTATAGCAGACGTAAGTGGATCATACAACAATGCCTTCTACACTGCTGGCTCGCTAGAAGTCTTTGCTGGATGTCTGTATATTTTGACTCGTTGTATTCCATCATCAAATAGAGAAGTTATTTTGGATGACACTTTAGATACACAACTTGTAGTAGTTGAGAAAGAAACCGTACTTTAGATTGATAAGGAATATTTAGTACCATTCATTCGCTCTCTACTTGCTTGGGTGGCTCATTAAAGATTCCAAGCTTTGAAAATCAAAGACGGCGTTGTTCATCTTCTCGTGTAGGGTTGGCTTCTTTTCAGCTTTTCGTCTGAGCTCTAAACGGGTAAGGAAACGGCGTTTTGACGATCTGTGATATCCTCTCGGGAGGAGCCGACGTGTTTCTGGGAGAGATATATCTGTTCTTATGTCTCAGTCAGCTGTAAGTCACAACTGCCAGCGAGAAATTCAGGAAAAAAGAACTCTCCAGGCAAGGAATACTTTCTAAGAATTTTTGCCAGGAAAATAAAAATGTCCTAACTTATATAAAATATAAGCCTTTGACCTTAAAAACGTTTGCCTTGGTTTGGCAGGAACAAAACTATTTTAAGGAAGGAAGGGCACCACATTTGCTTGTCTAGCCTCCTTTGCAGACGTTATTATATCATGATCGGTCATACGTTCCCTGCCCACTAGTGGAGTTATGGAGAGGGAACACATGACCGATACTAATAACGTCTGCAAGGGAGGCTACTCAAAATCCCTTTTCCAGGAAAAATTCGTACAACAACAGTTTTTAAAAGAACAGACCCCGTCGGCTCCTCCTGAAATTTTACAATTTGACGCTTAAGATTAGCAAATTAATACTTAACAGCTCAAAAGCTTGCACTTTGAATGGCATATGGTGAATCCTTACGAAATCCATCACTACCAATTCCGTGTCATGGGGATTTCAAAGCAGAATGGGGCGTTGAATTTAGGTCCCACAATGCCCTTCAAGGATTCTACCGTTACAGTCTCCAAAAGCCAAATTTCACTCGCCGTTAGTTGGGAGTATACCAGGTGACAAAGAAAAGGCTGTTCCATGCAGAACCCAAAGCGAACCCTCCCCTAGTGTGTAAGTTTCTGGGGTAAACATATTTTCATGAGATTTGCATGTTTATGCCAAAAATGTACCTCAGGTGGCAGAGTAATTGCCCCGGTAATGTTTCGTCCATTACATCGATCCGACTGTACACAGAAAACCTAGAGACGACGTTTCGTATGACAAGAAATTACTTACATCAGTGATCTTAGATTTTCTCGCATGCAGGGGACTAGTGCAAAAACGGCGCCAACAAGGCTCATTACTCACTGACAATGACGACTAGTTTACAGACTTATAGTAGCTTATTGTAGCTTTTGTCAGCTAAACTAAACTATTAACTTTCATTTAAGAGTCTCTTTAGCGAGTTATCATCTTGGAACTACGACAAGGAAGCGAATTGCCCTTTCGCATAATAGATGCTTACGACGTAAGCCGGAAGTGAATTGAAAACAATAGAAAACAAAGGAATGGAAACGAGGCCTAAGAGCCCTTGACTAGTTTAGATGGCAAATATCAAGGGATTCGATTCACCTGGATTCAAGAAAAATTGCTAAAGTCTGTAGGAAAAGTACATTTTCTTTTTGTTAAATTCAAAAAGAATATTTTTCAATTCCTAAGTTACTTCCGGTTTATGTCGTAAACATGTATTACGTCACACCAAAACATTCTATTGTTTTAACGTTCTAAGGATTATGGTCGCCAGAGGGGATCAGAGTGACTATGTCAAATAAAATGTACATGAGCTATCATTGATAAATGATGTACATCAAAACTCGATACACTAAAGTTCTACTTTCGAAGAAAATGTTATGGGTCCAAATTTCGAGTCTTTCTGAGCATCTATCCACGAGTAAACATACTGTGGCGTCATTATGCCATAGGGCAATCAGGAGCGGTCAATGCCACGTAGTCATTTTACCCAAATTTCTATATGTTTTCTTCAACTACAGTAGTGCAATGAAATGTTTAGTTTGACTCAGCTGGGTTAGTACTTCAGTTCTTTCTTGTCTTGGCGTAAAAGTTTTCAGTAGAGGGCAAATCTGGACGATGAAAGTAGTTAAACTCCGATTTGTTCAGCTCATCTCGCTCAACCTTGCCATTTYTGTTGATGTCAGAAGCTTCAAACCAGGCCACTCCGTCCTCCTCGGGCAGATTCCAAGCTTTGAAGATCATCTTGGCTTCGTCAAGAGTAACAGTACCATCGTTGTTKATGTCACATACGTCGAAAAACGCGTTGTTCATCTTCTCATGTAGAGTTGGCTTGTTTTCAGCTTTTCGCCTGAGTTCATTTTGGGCATGACGGCTGAATCCATGGATAAACTCTTCTTTTGTAAGCTTTTTGCCAGGAGTTAGACCCACTTCACCCCAAAACTCTTGCAAGCCTCTTTCCATAGCCATATTTTCTGCAGGTGTAGCTTTACACATCTCTCCCATCCTTTTACCACATTTCAGGAGCTCTTCGATAGTGAGGTACTTGTCCTCGTTTAAATCGTAGACATCAAAGAAGCTTCCCAGCCTCTCGACAAACACAGGGTTTTTTGCAAGATCAGCTGCCATATCTCCTGGTGTAGTAAGTTGAGTCAGTAGCTTTAGCAGAGTGTCGTTGTGTGAGGTTTGTTGCTGCGCCTTATTATGTCATGCTAAAGTGAGTTGGGGACTTTGTGATTGGCTACTTGACAAAAAACCTGTTTTGCCAATTAAGTGCTATAAAATAGACGTGTCAATCAAAATGAAGTTTATGAAAATTATGGTAAACAGCTTCCAGAGGAAGTTGTTGTGCGTTATAGAACATCTTGAAAATACAGTTTGAGATNGGCGTAAAAGTTTTCAGTAGAGGGCAAATCTGGACGATGAAAGTAGTTAAACTCCGATTTGTTCAGCTCATCTCGCTCAACCTTGCCATTTTTGTTGATGTCAGAAGCTTCAAACCAGGCCGCTCCGTCCTCCTCGGGCAGATTCCAAGCTTTGAAGATCATCTTGGCTTCGTCAAGAGTAACAGTACCATCGTTGTTGATGTCACATACGTCGAAAAACGCGTTGTTCATCTTCTCATGTAGAGTTGGCTTGTTTTCAGCTTTTCGCCTGAGTTCATTTTGGGCATGACGGCTGAATCCATGGATAAACTCTTCTTTTGTAAGCTTTTTGCCAGGAGTTAGACCCACTTCACCCCAAAACTCTTGCAAGCCTCTTTCCATAGCCATATTTTCTGCAGGTGTAGCTTTACACATCTCTCCCATCCTTTTACCACATTTCAGGAGCTCTTCGATAGTGAGGTACTTGTCCTCGTTTAAATCGTAGACATCAAAGAAGCTTCCCAGCCTCTCGACAAACACAGGGTTTTTTGCAAGATCAGCTGCCATAGTCCTGATGGAGTAAGTTGAGTCAGTAGCTTTAGCAGAATGTGGTTGTGTGAGGTTTGTTGCTACGTCTTATAATATGCTAAAGTGAGCCGGTGATCCGACTTTGTGATTGGCTATTTGACAACACTTGGCATTTGAAACAGGTTAAACCTGTTTGAAATGCCAATTAAGTGCTATAAACTAGACACGTCAAAATGAAGTTTCTGAAAATTATGGTAAACAGCTTCCAGAGGAAGTTGTTGTGCGTTATAGAACATCTTGAAAATGCAGTATAACTGTGAAAAATAAACTGATTCATAAGGATGAGAATATAACGGTTATATTAGTGTAATATCTATTTTACGGGATTTCTTTTTTTCACTGTGTGCAAATTCCTTTGTTTTCTTTTGTCTAACKAACACTATCTATTTAGCAGTTTTCAAGTTTTACAGTTTTTATTTCACGGAATAAATGGCCGTATATGCCCTACCATCATAAATAACGTTGGATCTTAAATGTTTTTTAATGGTGAAAATGTATCCAAATTTTTACAAAAAAAATAGTAATTTATTGTATAAAATTGGCAATTTTTTGGAAATTGACTAATACATCGTATATTAGCATAAAAATAGCAGGTTGCTATCTTTAACCGATATTGCGTCTGAGTCACCATTTAACAAAAAGCTAGTGTCAAAAATACATGTTTTGAATTATTATAGCAGGTTATGAGTTTTTTCTAAGTCGCCTGTTGCAAGTAATCTATAATTTATAATTAGAAAACGTTAACTATCTGGAAACAAGCGTTACGCCCAGGAACTGTAAGGTGCTAAAAGTTACCTGTATCAGTAATAGGACTCTATATTTGAAGTTACAGGCAATAGTCTTTTTTGCATATGTTAACTCATCTTAGGACACTTTGATGGATTAAATGTTTTAAGCTTTACACATCACGAGTTTGTGTGATTATTTATGCACATCAAACAACTTTAATATATTATATTATAAAATTTTCGATATATAACGTGCGCTTTGATTGGCTGACGACCGTGTTTATATCAGAGGACAGAGGCACGGCTTACCGGCAAAATGTTCTTTTCGCTCGAAAAAATTTATAAAAGAAATATAAAACGGCCGCTTGTGTCTCTGTCCTCTGATATAAAGACGGTGGGAGTTGAAAAACACTCGAGAAGCAAGAGAAACACTCGCTACGCTCGTGTTCCTAAGCTTGCTTCTCTTGTGTTTTTTGAACTCCCACCGTGTTTATATCAGAGGACAGAGACACGCGCGTCGTTTTATATAGTCTTAAATATTGCACAACAGACCTAGTAGACCTTGTATAGTCTGTATAAATGGAACCCAATTTTTAGTGTAATTTAGAGACCAACTAGCGAGTCACTAGCCGTGTGCCATGGAGTGCTGTTAATCAAGATTAAAGCTAAGTTATTTAATGCTCTGTCTTCAAGTCAAATGCCGATTTAGGGGTAATTTTAGCTCACGTCATTCGAGTCGACTCTACCATACTAGTCCACCGCCATCTGATAAAAACCGCCCAAACAAAATATTATTATCTAGGTACAAAAAAATACCTTTTTTAGGTTTATTATGATGTATTTTTATGCACAAATTACAAAAGTTCGTATAAGAGTACATACTCTATAGCGGAGCTCCAATAGCATTNGCCACGTAGTCATTTTACCCAAATTTCTATATGTTTTCTTCAACTACAGTGTAGTGCAATGAAATGTTTAGTTTGACTCAGCTGGGTTAGTACTTCAGTTCTTTCTTGTCTTGGCGTAAAAGTTTTCAGTAGAGGGCAAATCTGGACGATGAAAGTAGTTAAACTCCGATTTGTTCAGCTCATCTCGCTCAACCTTGCCATTTTTGTTGATGTCAGAAGCTTCAAACCAGGCCGCTCCGTCCTCCTCGGGCAGATTCCAAGCTTTGAAGATCATCTTGGCTTCGTCAAGAGTAACAGTACCATCGTTGTTGATGTCACATACGTCGAAAAACGCGTTGTTCATCTTCTCATGTAGAGTTGGCTTGTTTTCAGCTTTTCGCCTGAGTTCATTTTGGGCATGACGGCTGAATCCATGGATAAACTCTTCTTTTGTAAGCTTTTTGCCAGGAGTTAGACCCACTTCACCCCAAAACTCTTGCAAGCCTCTTTCCATAGCCATATTTTCTGCAGGAGTAGCTTTGCACATCTCTCCCATCCTTTTACCACATTTCAGGAGCTCTTCGATAGTGAGGTACTTGTCCTCGTTTAAATCGTAGACGTCAAAGAAGCTTCCCAACCTCTCGACAAACACAGGGTTTTTTGCAAGATCAGCTGCCATATCTCCTGGTGTAGTAAGTTGAGTCAGTAGCTTTAGCAGAATGTGGTTGTGTGAGGTTTGTTGCTGCGCCTTATTATGTCATGCTAAAGTGAGTTGGGGACTTTGTGATTGGCTACTTGACAAAAAACCTGTTTTGCCAATTAAGTGCTATAAAATAGACGTGTCAATCAAAATGAAGTTTATGAAAATTATGGTAAACAGCTTCCAGAGGAAGTTGTTGTGCGTTATAGAACATCTTGAAAATACAGTTTGAGATGAGAATATAACGGTTATGTGTAATATCTATTTCGCTGGATTTCTTTTTTTCACTTTGTGCAAATTCTTTTGTTTTCTTTTTGTCTAATGAACACTATTTAGTAGTTTTCGAGTTTTACAGTTTTTATTTCACGGAATAAATGACCGTATATGTCCTACCAGCATAAATAACGTTGGATTTTAGACGTTTTTTAATGGTGAAAATGTATCAAAATTTTTACAAAAAGAAATTAGTAATTTATTGTATAAAATTGGCAATTTTTTGGAAATTGACTAATACATCGTATATTAGTATAAAAATAGCAGGTTGTTATCTTTAACCGATATTACGTCTGGATCACCATCGTTTTTAAGAAAAAGCTAGTGTCAAAAATACAATGATTTGAATTATTATAGCAGGTTATGAGTTTTGTTGCAAGTAATCTATAATTTATAATTAGTAAAGTTAACTATCTGGAAACATGGGTTACGCCCAGGACACTTTGATGGATTAGATGTTTTAAGATTTACACATCACGAGTTTGTGTGATTATTTATGCACATCAAACAACTTTAATATATTATAATATTGTACAACAGACCTTGTATAGTCTGTATTAATGGAACCCAAGTTCATACTCCGTTGTTTTACCTATTGTTTTTAATTAGCAACAAATGCGAGCTTAATTTTGTTTACTTAAAAAGGCAATTTTTCTTTACGTTCACACGAAAATCACCCTATATAATTGTTTATCTCCTGTCTACACTAGTAGACTTAGATATCTATAATGTTCCTTTTAGTGCATGTTGGTAGAAGTTATCAGCAGTAAGTTTCTGATCTCTGTTCAAGGCCGTTTCGTACGGTCGTCCTACTGAGTATCAATTTTCTTGAGCTTCACCAACAAGATTGAAAAAAAATTGTAAGAGAGTAAAGCCCCCAAGTTGAACTGTCGAAAAATGCAACGCTTTCTGCAACCTTTCGATAAAGACTATATGCTTCAGTTGACTTTCCATTAGACAACTCATTGAATCGCTTCATTGGGCTAAGAGCTCCTCTCAGTTGTTTATRATAATTGCGCATCAAGGCAATAGTTTACTAAGATACGGCTGCACAAGGAAAACAATGGATTGAGATTGACTAATATAAAATGTGTGACTACCCTCCATATCAGTCATTAGTTCAGTATTCTAATGGCCTTAACAACGAAGGAATAGTAACCTTTTCGATTGGGTGACTATTCAACAATACCGTTACAGCTGAATTGGCGATCAAGCATAATAAACTTTTACGATTCAGTATAGGTCATTATTAGGCACGCTACACTTCGACACATCGACATGGCAGTAGATCTTACAAAGAACCCTGTATTTGTCGAGAGGCTTGGAAGTTTGTTTGACAACTTCGATYTGAACAACGACAAGTACTTAACCATTGAAGAAGTTTTGAAATGTGGGAAAAGAATGGCAGACATGTGCAAAGCTAGTCTTGMAGAKGCAAAGGCTTTGGATCAGAGGCTRCGCGACTTTTGGGGCATTGTTGGGCTTATACCCGGAGTCCAACTTACAAAGGAGCAGTTTKTTCGTGGATTCAACCGTCTGGCTCAGAATGAATTGAAAAGGAAACAAGAAGGCAAGCCAACTATCCATGAGCATATGAGCAACGCGTTCTTCGACGTAGCTGACATCAATAACGATGGTACTGTTACTCTTGACGAAGCCAAGACCATCTTCAAAGCTTGGAAMATGGACCCGAAAGACGCTGAAGCATGGTTTGAAGCTTCTGACATCAACAAGAATGGCAAAGTTGAACGAGATGAGCTGAATAAAGCAGATTTTGACTACTGGTTTCGTCCAGATGCTCCTTCTCCCGTCAACCTTTACGCTAAGCTGTCAAAACCATAGACGAAACATAGGGTCAGATTAAAACTTAACAGTACTTCGCGGCCATGACACCACGGAGTCCGACAAAATTTTGGCTCTGGAATCCGAATTCCCGCGCGCATCGAAATCCGCGACAATGGAAACGGACTCCGATAATTTTAAAAACCGTAATCCAAATTAGTTACTTCAATGTTTTCTAATTGTAAACGATTCAATGACGACAAAAAAAGCTGCTGGATGCTTTGCATTGTGAATCTAATATGGTTGAATCCAGAATCCTTGCGATAGCTNGGTACTGTTACTCTTGACGAAGCCAAGACCATCTTCAAAGCTTGGAAAATGGACCCGAAAGACGCTGAAGCATGGTTTGAAGCTTCTGACATCAACAAGAATGGCAAAGTTGAACGAGATGAGCTGAATAAAGCAGATTTTGATTACTGGTTTCGTCCAGATGCTCCTTCTCCCGTCAACCTTTACGCTAAGCTGTCAAAACCATAGACGAAACATAGGGYCAGATTAAAACTTAACAGTACTTCGCGGCCATGACACCACGGAGTCCGACAAAATTTTGGCTCTGGAATCCGAATTCCCGCGCGCATCGAAATCCGCGACAATGGAAACGGACTCCGATAATTTTAAAAACCGTAATCCAAATTAGTTACTTCAATGTTTTCTAATTGTAAACGATTCAATGACGACAAAAAAAGCTGCTGGATGCTTTGCATTGTGAATCTAATATGGTTGAATCCAGAATCCTTGCGATAGCTTATTAATTCTTTAGRATTTCAGTATCAGTAAACGTGATCGGGATTCCGTGTCATGAGACATTGATAAAACTAAGGAAACATTAGKCCAGAGTAAATCTGAACAGTACAGAACATCAAATACTGTAATAAGGGTTTGGTTGTAGAACAAATTAAGTAATTTTGATAAACTGTCTAAGTGTCTTGATTACCAGCTGTCTTATAGTCGAAAGACTCTTATGAATTTGTCGGGGAGGGATTGGGCAACAGGTGGTATTTGGCATTTTGTGCCTAAATCTTTTTTTTTACAGTCATACGAAAACTGCTCTATTGTAGATTGCTTGAGCTTGCTTGAGTACAGTCTGGCTGTAGTATGAGCTTTCTACATCGCTGCTTGTTCGGGATGAGCAGTTCGACTGCCATTGATTACTATGCATCGTTGCCGAAGTCAAGAATGCTTTCAGTTTGATCACGCATCATCAGACATACATTAAGCATTTATAAATTTGACAATTCAAATGAAAGTCATTCGAATTTCAATCTCTGATTGAAGATATGAGYTTTAATTGGATTTCTCTGTTGACGAATGTCATAGAGACAGTATCTCCAGGGTCGTTGCTAAGCACACTTAACTCTGCCATTTGAGGCACATTTTGGGCTTAGTCTACCCTGGTCCCAGAGGTTTGATGTTTTCTCTCTTCGCTAATGTTTTTGTCCGCGCGAAGCGCCGTAATAGCGAAGAGAGAAAANTGTCTTCTTTATTGATCCAAATCATGTAAGCTAAGTAGAAAAGGTAGAGTGACAGCAGCTTGCGACCAATCTCTAAATATTGGAACACTTTACCTTGTCCCTTGGTGCTATCAGTGAGACCACCAGCAACAAAAAGGTAAGCCCCAACTGATGCAATTGCTCTAGCAACTATCTTTACCTAAAGAATATCAAAACATAAGTTGTTTATTAATTTGAAAGGCAATAAATTAACTTTCAACAATGTTGGCATTTAAGTCACAGGGTATTCCCTGGTACTTAAAGACAAAAAAGGTGTTTGTAGAGATATATCATTTCATATACAGATGAATTCTTGCTTTTCCTAATTCTTATTTTAACAGAATTAATTTCCCAGCTCTCTCTTCTTCTTTTGACTGCCCCCCTTCCACCAAAAAAAGGGAGGGTCTAAAAATGTTGCAAGAGGAAACTGCAGACTCCTGACTGATGCATAAGTTTGACAGTAATTAATCCAATCTCATGCCCTAGAAACCTGGTGAGTAACTAGTGAGACTTCTGGAAATGCTAATGGAAAACAAAGACATAAAGGTGAGAGTTCCAATTGGTATCCGATCCTCCAAACCCTGAGCAGGGTCCAAGTAGCCTGGGGAGGGCCAAGAAAATTGCCATTAATATCATACGTGGAAATTCTAGATCTTTATGGCTCGGTGTATGAGATTGCGATAGTTCACGTAAGCAATTGAACCTCTAAACCTCTACATCACAGGTCTCCTATATTAGGCAACGCTCATACGGTATTTCTGATATAAATCAAATATAAGTTAAGCTTATATTATGCAAAACGAAGCCCGCCGCCCGGCTTTAAGTTACTTACAATCATAAACTCTGACCATGATTGTTTGTGTTCAATACAGGTCATAATTGCTGCACAGATCACATGAAACGCTGCAATAATACCACAWCYCCTTCTCTGCATGTCCAGTGTCATCCCTGTAGCACAAACGAAGAAAATCGCTCCGTTTACAAACACTTCAAAGTTCTGTTTGATGGCGTCCATTGTCATTTGAAGTCGGCCAGCTGTTGGGTTGAAAGTCCCTTGCTTGTTCAAATCGGCCAAGCTACCATGCCTCATTAAGATACAGAATAGATCTATGTACGGGTAGCGAGTTATGATAAAAAATCCAATGATATCTGCAATGATTACGAATTTTTGAAAGAAGCTCATTTTGGCTTTTCAAGAAAACGTGGACCTCGCTTGAATATGCGGAAAAGTGAAAGGCGTCCCTTGGTRTATGAAGTGTCAAATAGTTACACTCTAGGGAGGGGATTGAACAAGTTTTTCCGACATCCACAGAATTATCATTTAAATGTTCATATCTTTCAACAATTATAAAAAGCTAAGGAAATATAAAATGATGTTTAATATTCTAGCTTTTAAGAACAGCTAAACGTTTTTATGATTTCAGTGATTTTTTTTATTTTTTTCATATACCCCCTCCCCCTTGGGTAAATTTTGCTGATATTCTTGTATTGGCAGTTTCATGTACGATTAAAAAAAGATAAACGTAGATATTTATAATTAAAGATATCTGAGCTTTTATCATTATATCTCTGTCTTTATTTGCTAGAAATAACAGATAAATATYTAAAAAAATGTTTTGAAAAGGCCTAACCCCTCCCCTACAAGTGAGCCTTATCGTCCATGGTAACTACTTGGGGCCTGTAAACTAATCTGCTCTTTAGATAATACGTCTTGGTTTCCACTCAAAAGTTACTCATTATTAAGGGCCTTAAGCTTCTCAAGTGTTAACAAGATGTCCTTGCATGTTTCGCCATTGTGATTCTTAAATTACGAGTATTTCTTGGTGCAAYTGTATTTTCTAAAGACGAAGCAACGACACTTTCCMTGTSTGCGTGAAGCGRCGGTTCAAACTCTTCTGTTTCATCTCCAGGATCAAACAAAGGTTTGTGTACATAACGAAAGCAAACTTATACTGCATTATTTTAGAAGCATATATATTATATTTTCCAACGAGTTACTAGTATGCACAACAAAGTTGCACTCTCTGGCCCACCGTTTGACTCGATCTTTTCGACTACGCGATAATTTGTTGGTGACCCGTGCACCACTGTTTTTTCCAGCTGTTTCATTGAAAAGAGCTGAAATAAGCTTAAAATTGTATCCTCCATACAGTACAAGAAGCAGTTTCATCAACTTCTGAGAATTTAGGTGCGAAGTTTTATTAATATTGCAGATCATTAAATAATCTTTTAATATTTTGATCTTATAATCTTTGCTTGACACCAAACAAAAAGCTTTTTATCTGCTGTAATTTTAATATGAAAAAAAACTGTGAAAGTTCTTTGTTTGCAGGGCAATTAAACGACTCTGTACTGCGAATACGTTATTACTGTCCTGGTTGTTTGTTATTTTAAACAATTTGAATCGATAAAACTTTTAGCGATCGTCCAGAAAGAAAGAGCTCCCCGKAAACATAATTTGTTGAMGTGGTTCTGACACAAGTAGAAGGATGAAAAAATTGACAATTATGCCTTATAACTATTATAGCATAACCACAGAATTKCATATTAAGTTAAATATTGTACTGCAAGATGATAGAGCGCCTTCTCAATGCAATTTGATCGGTTTGTTTTGATATCTGAAATAGTTTTGGCAATTAGTACCAAATAGTAAGCATACCTTATAAGAATGAAAGCTTTTAATTTTTATTATAATTTAATAAGTGAAAGCTCTTCTTACAAACACTTGCACTCTTTAAATTATATCTTGAAGTCTTACTTGGGGTAGAGGTGGATTTTTTGTACCCATTTCTACAATTCCTTCATAATAGAGGGACTGAAATACTCCTCTTGCAGAGTATGTCTTAGCAAAATACATGCTTTTTTATAGTCAAGTTGTAATGATATCATATAGTGTGCATGGAGATACCTTCTTGGGGCCATCTGCAACCTTAAAAAAATTGATAAGTTGTGTCAGTTTGTTTTCTAATGTATATTAAAGTGCATATATCGGTTCAGCAATTTTGGTTTAAAATAAAAGTTTAGACTTGCATGAATCATGTTTGGTGGGTTAAACTCAAAAAAAAAATTTTTTAGTGTCATTTTTTAAGGCCTAAAAGTGCTAAAAATGCCTGTTTTGGGCCTCCTGTGCCAAAATTTTGGAGCGATGCAGAAGTCTGGTAACTAACATTTCATGACGTCATTCACGGAACTCGTCACCCAGAACAATATTGTTTCCAGTCATTTTCCAGTCAAAAAACTATCAAAATTCTATTTAATTCCGTACTTAAGAATACGATTCCTCTTCCAAAATGCCCGATAGCAGTAGTCAAAAGTTGTGGTAACATAAACAGTCGTGAAAACGCTATATTTCCTAGCACAAAATTCAGTATTAAGGCGACCAGCGACAAGAGGCAATTCGACGCCGAAAGAGACGAGACATACACATAAGCGCTCGTTAGCGAACTTTGCAAAAACATTTGTGAGTAATTAGAGGAAAACACGGGAAACTCTTCTTTACATAAAAGCTTGAATGAAGCCTTTTATAATAATACAGTTTGTCCGTCCATATTCATACACTTTGCCTT